GTCGATCCACGACAACTGCGACACCTTCACAACCACCAGCGGCACCTCATGCACCACCAGAGTCACCTCCGTTTCGCCTACCTCCTCAATCGTCGGCGCCGGCACCACCTCGACAACCAGAACGGGAAGCGCGAGGCGAAGAAGCTGAGGAAGAGTTCAGAGCTGTCCGGCCGGAACCAGAAGCTGACGAAGCAAAGTCCATCAAGCCTCTGTATGATTTCAGGAAAGTTTTCAGGAAGCTGCAGTCGGATCTTCCCGATACCGATCCGGTGATGACCAAGCGGCTGCTGCTGGGTTTGCGCGAGAGGTTCTACCGTGCACCAATTTCTGACTTTCGCAACATGTTGATCAGAGCTGGCTTGGATGGCGCAGTCCTCAAGTTGGCTGAGGAAGCAATTATGAATTGCTCTATCTGCAGGAAGCATGTTCGACTTCCTCCTCGACCTCAGGTGAAGATCGGATCGCAGGCATCGAGCTTCAACAGCCGAGTTCAATGTGACCTCTTCCAGTACAAGGAGACCTGGGTGCTCTTGATGGTGGACGAGGCTACTCGATACAAGGCAGCGATGGCCGTAAGCTCTCGAGAACACAATGACCTGCTGCAGCCTATGTTGAAGTGGTGGTTCTCGATTTATGGTCCTCCTGCTCAACTGGTGCTCGACCAAGAGTCTTCCCTGATGAGTCATCAAGCAGGAAAAGAATTGGAGCGCTTTGGGATCGAGAGAGTCCCGAAGGGAACGACCTCCGGACCAGCAGCCGCCCAACATACTGGGACAGGACTTGCGGAAAGGCATATAGGACTCGTCGAAATTACTATGGCAAAGTTAGAGGCCGAGCTTGACAGGCAGGGCATTGCCATAGAGATCGACGACTTGTGCCGGGAGTCAGCTTCAGCACAAAACTCGACCCTCAACTATGGGGGGGCCACCCCTGCGATGTGCGTCTTCGGGGTTCTCCCACGTCCGTATTTTCAGGACGACACCGACTCCATCACGGCCATCACAGGTGCCTTACAAACCGATGTTACACCCTTCGAGCGAGCCATCCGCGTGCGCCAGCTGGCATTGTCCATGGTTCACAAGGCCATTGCCGAGGACCGAGTGGCCCGTGCCAATCGAACCAGACCACAGCAGCTTCGCCTCGGGGAACTGAAACCAGGAGTGAGCCTGGTGGACTACTATCGAGAAGTTCAAGGCGATGTTGGCTGGAGAGGACCTGCTGAACTACTGCGGATCAGTCAGACCGAAGGCACGGCCATCATCTCCTACCAAGGCAGGCCATACTTGGTGGCTCTCCGGCACATTAGACCACATGCTGCTGGAGTGTTTGAACAATGACCAGAAGGGTGACTTCCAGTGGTTCAAAGGCATTGTGGAAAAGATGGCCCCTTTCAAGACGGTGATCATTGGCTGGGTTCCCGAGGTCAAGGGCGACTGCGCTTCATGGAGAAGGGCTTCCAGCTCCTCCTTGGCTTATGAAGAGGCATGGTCCAAGTTGGTGTCCCTGGCTAAGGCTATTTCGAACCGAAATGTCGGAGGCCTGATCCTGGGACAAGGGGTGCGTACGGTCCATCCTCCACGAGGCACCGTGGGCGTCCTACTCCTTTGGAAGGCTGGATCGGACAAATACACATGCCACGAGCGCAACAATGACAACCCGATCACCATGAAAAAGATCACTGCTACCCCTGTCGATGAGGTGGCCTTCCTCTACATGTACTTCGTCGTCACGGTGACCTACGAACCTGGACCATCCTTGAAGGTTGTTCCCTCCGAGGGTGCCATTGACGATACCGAACCTATGCAGGTGGACGAGCAGGGCACCGTCTCGGGAGAAGAGTCAATGGAAGTCGGAAGGGACCAGACACTCGCACCGTCGTGATTGGGCCCGAGACCAAGAAGGAGCGCCTGGTTGCCTTCATGGAGATCGTATCATCGACTCGCGCGACGACCCGAACACAGCACAACCTCGTCAATTTCTACTGGCTACTTCGACAGCGCCAGACCGTCAAGTGGGAGTTTCCCATGACTTGGTGTCTTCATGATAATCACCGTGCTGTGACGCAATGGGACGAGTATGCTTGGAGATCGAGCATGCTAACGCCACCGACTACGACCACGAGCCACTTCCTCTTCTCGTGGCCTGGCAAGCGACACGAAACCTTGTACGCCTCCCTTCACAACGGCGAGATCTACAAAGTGGACAATGACACTGATAACATCCCAGAGGATGAAGTCTACGGCATATGGCCACAAGTGGACAAGGCCGACGAGGAGGAAATAAAGCAGTTTGTGGACACAGGCAGCTTTAAGAAGGTTAAGGTCAGCTCGATTTCCAGCGACACCGTCGTCATTGACAGTGTGTGGATCCGCAAGTGGAAGCGCCATCCGGATGGCTCCAGGCGGGTGAAGTCTAGATTGTGTGCTCGAGGTTGTTTTGACAACCAGCGGGACACCTTGTCAACGCGCTCCACAACGGCGACCCGCCTGAGTCAACGTCTCCTCGTATCCACGGCAGTGAATCACGATCACGACACCGAGAGCTGGGATGTCTCCGGGGCTTTCTTGAAAGGCCTCACGTTTGAGAAGGTTCGTGAACTCCTGGCCTCCCGAGGAATCACTTCACCAGTTCGGAAGGTTGTGATCATCGCCCCGGCCAACGTGTGGAGACATTTGGCTAAGTTCGATGCGTCCTTCCGCGTGGACCTGGAACACCTTGATGAGTGGGCTCTCCTCTGCATCAAGCCGGTCTATGGCTTGAATGATGCTCCCCTGGCATGGCAACTTTGTCTGCATGGCCATTGGGAAGAACAAGGCGGAGTTCCCTCCTTGCTGGACGAGAACTATTTTATCTGGCGTTTTGACGATGGCGACCGGGCTTCTGTGACCACCCATGTGGACGACTGCGGCGCTGAAGGCAAGCGAAAATGGCTCGACGAGCAGTACAACTTAATTGTTGGTCAAGAAGTTCGGCAAGGTTACTCGGCAGACTCTTCCGTTCACTCATTGCGGCGTGGTGTATCGCCGCATCCCTGACGGCATCTGCGTGGAGCAGGATGACTTCTGTCGGAAGCTCAAGACGGTCGACATCGACAAGACCCGTGAGGACGACGACTCCTTGAGTGCTTCCGAGTTGACATCGTTCAGGTCGGTGCTAGGAGCTTTGCTCTGGTTGACAGCGACCAGGTTAGATTTGATCGCGGATGTGTGTATCCTGCAAAGCATGGTGACCAAGGCGAAAATTCTGCACCTCAAGCAGGCCAACCAGGTTGTTCGTAAAGCGCAAGCTGAAATTGGACAAGGCCTCGGACTGTATTTCAGGAAGCTTCGCCCTCCATACCGACTGGCGTGCATCCATGACAGCAGCGCAGCTGGCACGGTGCGACAGTATGCGCAAGAAGGCGTCATGATACTGCTGTTCGAGGACAAGCTGCGTGGCTTCGACACCTACGAGAAGGTCATGGATGACCATCAGACCCACCTTACGGGTGGTAAATGCCATGTGCTGTGGGCGCACGGAGCCAAGGCGAAGCGGGTTCTTCACATGCTGAGACTTTGTCAGCTGTTTCTGGCATGGAGACGTCGACGCTCGTGGCTGTGCGTCTCGGCGAGCTGCTCTACACGCCAAAGCCTCCGACAATACAATCCTTGATCCTTCTCCAGGAAGGCGGTGTGCCGGAGCTACCCTGTGACGGGTATACCGACTGTAAAGATCTGTTTGAGTTGGCGTCAGGATCCTCCTCGGTGGCGCAGGACAAGACACAACGTTTGTATGTGATGTCCTTGCGGGAGTCTCGCCTCTCTGGCAAGCAGCGCTGGCTTATTCTCACGCCTACTCAGAGCATGCTGGCAGATGCTCTCACTAAGGCTATGGTGGCTCCGCAACTGATGTGCCTCCTGAGCAGCGGTGAGGTCCACTTCGTGAATGAGGCCGAGCACCGCATGACCTTGAGGCGTGTGCCAAAGGTGAGAGTTGTCACCGAGGAGCTCCTTCTCAAGTCTGATAAGGAGCTCATACGTGATTTGCGCGTCTCCACTTCGGCTACGGCAGCTTGTTTGCTGATGTCAAGATCCTGGTGCTTCTGGATGCTGACGGCGGCCGCTGTTTCGACTACTTCGGCGACCCCCGGTCCATCTCCTCCGACCAGTTCATCGACTATGACACCTACCTGCCCAACACAGGCACCAGATGACGGCTGGATGTGGCTGGTCTACCTCTCCATCTTCATCATTGCGGCATACCATGGTTTGGTCCTGTTTGTCAAGTGGATCTGGACCTCGCTTACGCGTCGTGAGACGGTGACGGACCTCGAGCCAGACGCTGAACCTCCAGCTACTCTTCGTCCGCCACCTGTTCCTCCTGGAGATCCACCTCGTGACGTTCGACCGGCTGCTGCACCTGCGCCTCCGCCTGAGCAAGTGCAAGAATGTGTAGACTTGCGAAACCAACTTCGTGAGCTCCGTCGCGAGCACGAGCAGTTGGCTCAACTGTACGATGAACAATTTGATCGCTACAATCGTCTATTGCAGCCTGCCCGTTAGGGCGTAATGTGTACCTGACGCATTCTGGTAGATGCTGGCACTGCGATGCAAATTGCTATCATATACGTAGGGTCCAGCATCGCACGTACAGATTCTGCCAGGATTGCGCAGGCAGATAGCTTCTCTCCGGAACGATGAGCGGAGTGAACTTGTCATTGCTGACTTGAGCTTGAACATGTCGCAGCGCTTGGGCTAAAACAGTGTGCACTTTCCAAGTGGGTGAGCTCCATACGGGGTGGAGCTCCTGCGAAGCTTGCACAGTATAGACGCATAGACATGATAGCAGCTTTGCTAATACAGTTTTCTTGCCCCCGAGGGAGTGCTGCGAGTGCTTTTGCGTAGCGATTAGGGGTCCGAGGATGTCGGAGCATGAAACCTGTTATGCCCTGCACAAGGATGGCGCCAATCAGGTTTTCAGGTGCATGTAGGACTCAAACGATAGGCGTACGCCAATGCCAGGCGTCGAAGAGCGACCAGAAAAGCGGGTGAGGGGCTTGGTCTCTCACTGTCCACGATGAGCTTAGCCAGTCAAAGAATGCACAATGGAGTTCCCATGGTCACATGGATAATGAAATGTGGTTCAGGGTTTCTCATGACTAGCAGCGCACCCAGGCGAGACGAGAGGACGATGCCGCAGCCTCAACTCAAACGCAGAGCCAAGATGATATTGGCAGATGAGACAGATATCACAATCGGAGCGGTCCGTGAGCCATTTCTTAATGCAAAGTTGGCTGTCAAAAGTTCCCGTTGCCAGAAGCGACGAGAGGACGGGGAAGTGGTCGCTCTGCACTCAGTCATGGTGCTAAGCTACCTCCTCCACAATGCTTGGTTTCAGGCCAACATGGCGCAGCCAGGAGGTAGGATGGGTTGTGGCAATGATCTGAAAAATGCCGAGGCTGTTTCATTGATAGGCTCAGAGAGTTGAAGTGTAAGTGCACAATCAAATTATCAAAAGCGGCGCAGACCTTTGGTTTAAGTGAAACACAGTTTAGGTAGTTGACTCACATGGTTTAGCCAGTGATGTAATTCATTGGAAGTGGGTTTTAGATCATCTGAAGTATCATAGCAATAATGGGCTATGTAACAGCCATAAGCTTGATGGTGACTCATCCCAAGGTGATCTCGTCGCCGTCCCATAGACCGGCCATCAACCGGACCACAGGATCGCCAATTCGCAAAGCTGATCCTTTGTGGAAAGGTTTTAGGAGACTTGAGACCAGTTTGGCCTCCACGGCCAAAGCAAGGAGAGTTCGTGAGTATAGCCAGTACAAATGGCATCAAATGGTGGGGTTATCTTACATCGGTCCAGTTTTTTATGCATCGATCGAGCGTCTACTTGGGGAAACCATTTCTTGAACGAGGCCACTGCTTAACAACATATAGAAGAAGCTGTTGTTTGTGACAGCGTCTACATGCAGGTTTGGTATCTTTACCATGACATCCTGAAGTTTATCAGCGTTGCTATCTCCCAGTGCATACAGGTTTTTCCTTGGACTACCGCATTTCGCTCCTGCTGTAAAATCCCCTAGTACAGACGGGATTTCCCTCGGGCTCATGATGCAAAATCCCCTAGAGGGCGAGATGTCTGCGCGCTCTTTCCGGCTCTTCAATACACAGCGGCTCCTTGGGGATTTGCTGGTTTAGGGTGGCCAAAATGCACATGAAACGTACTGCAAACGTTGGCGTTTGCCACATAAGCTGCATTCCTACACCTTCGGTCCGGCTCTTCAAAACACAGGGTCTCCTCGGTGATTTGCATCCGGTGATGCATAATTTCCCCAATCATTTTCCCTGATGTGGCATCTACGTGAGGAGATGGATATTCTCACCAACTGATGTGTGATAGCCCCACCCATTGTACCGGGTAAGTACCTAGATTTGGTAGCTTGCATGGTCTATTAGAACCATGACCTGCGCATGCTACTGTATCAAGATGACAGAAGGCGCATGGCGAAGCTTGGCGGTGCCAACCTACCGCAGCCACGATTCAGGCGGAAGTGCGCGGAACCCTCTTTCCGTGCAACCTGCCAGCGATCGTGAAGGCGGGGTTAGGCTGCAGTTAAGAAGGGGCAGTCCTAGCAGCAAGAGGCAGTGGTAGGAGCAGAAGACGTCGTAGCGAACCGTTGAACACACGACGGCTGATGTTGTGGCCCTGACTGAATTCAGAGTCGCTGAAACCTAACAGGGGTCTTAGTTGTGAAATTGCCAGTTGCAACAGCTTCCATGAACCCGCTTGCCATGTTGGAGTGACTGAAAGGTCGCAGCAGTAGGAGCGTTGGTAGCGGTGGCGGTCACGACCTCAACAAGTGCGAAGTGACACATTCTCAACATCTCAGTAGGTCGACCATCTTCGCTATACAGTGGAGCACATGCAGTAGACAAAACAATGCTTGATTAAAAACTGGCGTATTCTTGTCCGTATGAAGTTCCACATCTGCCCAAGGATATGATCCGCACAGCCGACGACCCGGAATCCAGCATGCCTGCATCTTAAATGCGGGGGTGCAAGCAGGCTGCAATGCTCTCAGTGAACAGTGACCTTGAAGACTTGCCGAGGCGTTAGTGGACGTTTTTGCTTATTGGATGTGGGCAGTGGGAGTGACGATCGTGATTGTGCATTCAATTGCATTCACATCCACAATAGCCCATGGTGCTGAGGGCCAGCCATCCAGGCACGATCGGCGCAGGCGCTGCCCCTCAGTCCAGCGTTAGGCCACAGGATCTTGGGATGACATGTGCTTGCTTGAGCACTTGCACTCTGATCAGCATCAGATCGTGTGCGCCCATTTCCTGGCGTCTGCACAACGTTCTTCAACTTTGCTAATGCAAGTTTGCTACTAGTAGGTGACTGCTCCTGGTCCCCGGCGTCCAGCAGCATCCCAAGCCGAGAGGCGGTAGACCTGCTCTTCCTGAGCATTTGCGCATGTAGGGGCACAGGGCGATCGAGGATCCGAACCCATTCCTGGCGCATATGCCCCTTGAATCCCTTTCCACATTCTCTAGGTGCTTGATGGTCGAGACGTCGCAAAAGCCACGAATGCGTACGCCTTTTTTCCTTGAGGGGTTGGGTGTCAAGAGGATCCACTTCAAAGCAGCGTGTTGGGCAAAGAAAGAATCTTTGCTCATCTGAGGCCTGGCAGCTGCCTGCTGCTCCGGGGAAAAAAGCTGCGGGGCAATGCAGTTGACAAGACCAGTTTTAGTCTTGTGTTCCAGTCTTTGCTCAATGGGAGGGTTCCAGGGTAAAGCAGAACCTGTGCTCTTTCCACTTGCATTGATGACAAAGTGTGGACAGACAAGCCTTTTACAACAAAGAAGACATACGCAACAACACTCGGAACGTTTTGGGTCGACCCCGTTGAACAGCCACACAGCAAAATATCTGCCTTGTTTTGCGTTTTTCGATGTGTTTGTTTCTGCCTATCGCTTTGTCTGGATCTTGCTTTGTCGGACAATGTTCCAGTATTCAGTTGCTACGCTACCTTCTACTCGTTTATCTCTTGTTAGTAGTATTGGGGCTCTTTTGTCTTGAAGAATAAGCGGACAACGTGTATGCCTTAAGCCTTGCTATGGATACGGTGGTTTCTTGTAAGCAGCATTACGGATTCCTCGTTTTACCATTTAGTAGGACATCGACCTTCTTCGATTCGTTAAGAATTATGCAATCCCTATTGCGTGTTTTAGCACAATCTGTTTCCTGTACGAAGTGTTATGGGCTCCTCATTTCTGGTTTTCGCAGTCCTGTGTCAATTTTTGTAGCTTCAGCAGAGCTTTTGTTTTCAGCCCAGCCTTGCTGATCTATCCTGGGACATTGAACTTCGGCCCTTTGGCTAGATCAGGCGTGCATTTGGAGTCGACCTTGGGAAGGCGGACGTGATTCTAGGTGCAAGCGATAGTACTGACTTGCTGCAAATCTACCTGCTCCGCCCCAACCTGCATCTTCCCTGTTCTAAGCTTCCGTTCCCCCGTGGGTACAAGCAAGAAAAGCAACTCAGTTTTGTTGCCATGGATCCCATCAGGGAATCCAAGAACGATGCAATCTGGCTCCCGTGGAATTGAGTTGAACTATAGCTGGCCTTCTGGCCTTCATGCTCAGCTTCTGTCACTGCAGAACAACCTCTGATCCTGTTTGGGTTTTGGCGGCCTCAACACTTCGCCCGCCTGTTTACACTCTTCCTTACCACAGGCTTGCCAGGCCGCGATCCTACCATACTTTGGGACCTCGCCCGCCATGGCCTCTGTCACCCTGACAGCTCTGCCTGCTGCGCCAGGCGAGAAAGTGCATACTGTTCTGCAATGTTCAAAGAGATCCCCTGACTGGGTTCCAACCTACGTGAGGGATTTCGTTGTCAAGAAAGTTTGCTAGCACGGTAACAAAGACACAGTAGAGTTGTCGCTCTGCGAGCGGTTTGGAAACAGGCACCTCTCATTCTGCACGTGTGACTTCCGGGCAGCCCTCTCGTTCCAGAATGCGGCCGTGCAGGTCTTCCCCGTTTGGCAGGACCCTCTTTCACTGCAGAAGGCCTGGAGCCAAACAGAAATGGATTGAGATGGATGCATGGAGCTCAATCTAGCTACTGTACAATAAGGATCCATCTTGGATTTCGGAGTCCGAGAAAAAACATTCTGATGTTGATTTCTCTGGCCTCAAGCCTAGGCAAATCCCCGCGGCGGCTGGGACTGCATGCTCCAGAGATGGCACCTAGCCTCGCAAATGTTTGCGGGCTCAACAGGTAGAAGATGTGGTCGGATCAGGCGTGAAGCATTCTCCATATCAAGCAACTTAGTGTAGCACAGTTCGACATCAGACAAGTTGCCAATGGACTGTGAGAGCTCTTCTGAATGAGACGTGGGAACTCTTCTCAAGTTGTGTCATGTATTGCATCATTCAGTACCCTATCCCGCATGACAGAGGGCACGCGTTTTGCGATCTTGCCTTGGTCTGGCCAGTGCAAGGCTAGGTGCCAAGCTGATTCGAATGGGGACAAACCGAGCCAGATAGCCCTGGGCATTGTGTGCTCCGACGGATGTAAGAGAAGCAACCAGACCCGAGCCTCAAACTGGTCCAAGGCTTTGGCCTTGCAGCATATATAGTCTTGTGCAGTTTGCAAACGTTGACTCTCGTAAAACAATAAAGCCCCCACGTCGCTATAGGATGCTTCTAGCAAGTCTGCTGCGGCACAGAAACAAGAATGTGGCGCGGCTTTACCCTCAACAGGCAGTTCTCGCGTTGTTGAGTTTCACAGGCAGCTGTGGGGCTCCTCGTCGTCTCAACAAGGTCAACGAGCCGCACGGCTCGCAGGGCTGAGGCTGGCAACCTGCAGGGTTTTGCCCTGTAGGCCTTGTGGGGGCAAACCGGCATCTCACCTTGCAGTTTGACACAAAGCAAACCTATATTTGCCTGGCGGCCTGACGCGCAGCTTTGGTCAGAGTCCATCACCAGGCAGATCGAGGGTTCAGGATCCTGGAGGCAGGTTATCTTGCACCTTGCTCTACAGCCTGCCAAGTGTCATGTGTACACGCCCGCAGGTGGCATCTTCGTTCCTTGGAGGCCAAAAATCGCTTGTGAAGGCTCGGGCATTCCGACAGTATGGCTCACTTGTGAGATTGTTGAGGGGGTGGTCATATCCCAGATTCTGAGCGCAGAAGCTATGACATAACGTCTCCAGCACGAAAGGAGCTAGTGCATCGCTCCTGCTGGCCATACCAAAGCAGTTGTGACCACCGTGAGCTTTGCAGGCAGCACGATGGGGCAGCCGCGAGGCTGCCACCTTTTTCATTTCGAATGCTACGGCGAAGCCCTTGCAACGGCAGATCCAAGCTGAAGGGAGGGACAAAGTGGATATTGCTTAAAGCTGCCTGCCTTCAGCACTTGCCAGGCCTGGAGGTTGATGGTACGAGAGCTCGCTCCGCAATCTCCCGAGGGTGCGCATGCCGCCAAGTTTTGGCCAGTGCTTGAATTGTTCTCTATAAAGACTTAATTAAGGCGCTGTTGATGAGGTCACATCCACACCCCGCAAAGAATCCATTGAGCCACGTCCTTCCAGGCGAATACATGCGGCCAAAGAGCCAGCTCGTTGCCCCCAAGGACACAGCAGACCTAGTTGCCTTGTACACAAACTCTGGTGAAGAATATCAAGAGGTCACATGTTAGGTATCCAAACGTTCTGGAGGACTACGAACCGCTTCGTTTCCAGGAAAAAGGCCCGGTGAAGGTTGCCTTGTTATCGAACATCTTCTGATCAGGAAGGACTGACATGCCAAAGCTGACCAGAACTCATGCCTTCAGACATGGTGTGTAGGCGCTCTGCAGAGCTTTGGAGGCTATGCACTTTATCTGGGCAACACTTGCCCCTGGTGCCATCGTACCAAGCTTCTGGCCACAACTAGCATAGCTGGATTGTTGCTGAAGCGTTAGGCCGTCTGGTTGCCCTAGTAGCAGCCATCCTGCCTTTGAATTCGTGCATGTGCCAGCTCTTTCTGGCGGCGCTCATCCCGTCACAAAGAAATACATGGATGTCTTTTCGAGCTCTGACTGGTTGTGGTGATGCCAAAATCTAGGTTAGCCTTGACCCTTCGCCGCCTGCCTGCTCGATGCCTCGCGCCGGTCAAGTTCCAAAGCTGCACAAGCTCTACTCTACATGGCAATGGAATTACAGACGAAAGCTAGTACGCCGGATGGCTGTTTTGCTTTGGCTGATCCTGGTTGTGATAGAACGTGCGTCAGGCTTGTGGACAATCCCGAGCGTGCATCGCGTGGGGGTTGGGCTTTTGATCCAGCTCAAGGCCCAGCTATGCCGCGAGCGAGTGCAATGTCAGCGGCGGGAATTCAGCTCATGCGCATGAAGTGGGGACCTGATCAGCTCTTCTGCCTCACTTGCCTAACCTTTACTTTAGTAGCAAACGAGTAAGTGCCCAAGAAGATCAAATTTCTCATAGTGCTTTGGGGCGCTTGGTCCAGCTTCAGCGACTTCCTGGGCGCAGAAACACGTGATTTGCTGCAGTAAAGCTTGTATAACAATTTTGGGACATGCACTTTGCAAGAAAAGTCGTGCTTCATGGCTGAAGCTGTCAGGCGCTGTTGACCCGGTCTTTGGTGCTGCAGACTTGCGGGAGGTCTATGATAGAGCGGCGGGTGATGGGCCCAGGGACACTCATGCTGCGGAGACTTTGGGTCTTCCTGCTCGCAGCTGACGCCCATGCAGGTCGCGACGGCTCGGGTTACGTGGGCCGCTGCACTGCACCGCTGCTTGTGGATGGGCAGAAGTAGAGCACTGGAGGCAGAGACTTGAAAGTTAAAGATGCGCAAACCTCTATCAGGCTCATCAGTGTTTGTGGGTTTTCGCTGTTCTCGCATGCGACTGCTGGCTCACAACAGAACTGGCGTCTGAGGTGGACGCGCGCACGCGGCGAGCTGTGTCCAACGACAGCGTCCAGACACTTGCTTTGCTTTGGTCCAGGATAGACCGGGGAAACTCTGCCTTTAGCGTTACCCATAAAGGGGTCCAGAACCATGACAAGAAGACAAGAACCGTAGAGCAGCCACAAACACTGAAAAGCCTTGAGTAGATTCGAGCAGGTCTGCTTCTTACAATGGCTCAAGCCTCCCCTCGAAGCTGCTCACTGCTACCCTGTGGAAATTCAGATTGGATTCTGCACGCTGGAACCTCAGCTCAGGATTGTTCGGATGATAGCCACGGCCAGCGTCAGCACCTAATTGTGTAAGGGAGGAGAAGCACTTCGGAGATTTATGCTGTCAGCTCGCACCTCATCCAGGCAACTGATGAAGAGCGAAGCTTGGGACGTGCAGTTGACCTAGTGCCGGAGGATCTGAAGGAGCAGATTGAGGCCGGCCATGGCATCGTGGAGACCAAGAGTTCACACGGATCAGAATTTGAGGCCACAACTCGTTGGAGCTACGAGCTCCTATCCAACGCAGTGTACCGCGCCGGCTTTGCCACAAGTCAGGCCTCGGATTGTTTTTCGAGAGCTCTAGATTCAGCATCGTCATCTCTGCAGGAGGCATTCGCCCGCGCTGCACGGGATGCTGCTGAGGGCCACCTGGCGCAATTTCTGCTTGGACACAGCTCAAGTCAAACAAAAGGCTAAGGATCTGCTACACAAGCAGGCGAGAAATTGAACCCATTGCTTGCAGAACCACCCTGTGATCTGATTTGATGGCTGTGTTGCATCGAAGTGCTGGGTCCAGTCGTTTCTGGTTGAAAGCCACGGAGGAGCGGCTTCGGGAGCGTTCAAGAATGATGTTTCTTTCCCTGCGTCTCGTCAACGCACGTGTTCTCACGTCAGCCCAGGCCTGCGACGCGTTGAAGACCAGCTGTCCAAGCACCGCTTTCTGTGCCCTGGTCTTTGATCTGTTTTCGGACCTCTGCGGGCCATTGCGCACGCAACCGTGTTGAGATTTCAGTAGCGACATCTTAAACTGAACATTGATGCAACTGGAATGTCAGACAATGCCGTGACAAGCAGAGGTCTGTTGACCATTGCTGTGGAAAGTTTTCACTATCGACTCCTGTTTCAAACCTCGTCTGTGTAGGTGTCCTTCCTAAAAACCCATGGGAGATGTATGAGCAGCTGCATGAAAGCCTTTGCAGCAGGTTCAGAGACATCCAGCACCGGGCACATGCCGTTTCAGAAAAGTTTTGTTGGTGAGAGAGTGCTCAAGGAGGGCACTTTGTGGTCACCTGCCAGCCAGACTTGCTGAAAACAGCTGAAGATATACAGAGCCTGGATCTGTCCATAGTCAGTCCCATATGAAGTGCAAGTCTCAGGTGCGGCGACCGCATTACAGAGGCAGACGTCACTCATCGTGAGACAGTGTCCGACAGCCATTATCACAGAAAGTTTGTCTTCCGATGGCCTATGTTGGCATCCTGCGGGGCGCTTCGGGACGCTTGGGGGTGATGAAGCTTCTGTTGCTGTGTAAGTGGAAGACGGTACTGTCGTTTCTGAGCTTGCTTTGGCTAGAGGAGTGTTGTTTATCAGCATGGCGAGCCATGCGTACCGGGCGTACCGATTCAAACTTCAAACTTCCTTGGGGCCACACCCGACCCTAATCCACTTTGCCATCCAGGTCATGCTGCTGCCATGCGCTGCACGATTTGATGCTGTTTACGCGTCGCTTTTCTTGAGGCATGCCAGGATCTGCCAGACGTGATAGCTGTGGAAGGTCAGCATGTCAAGATGTGATCGGGTTTTGCTACTGCCCCATCACTGGGAGGGTTTTTCTTGCAAGGTTTGTCTCGACACTCAAGCAAGGGGGCAGGTAATGTGCAGCCAGCAGGGAAGAGTGGTGCTCGCAGGTTCCATCGCAGTCTCTTAAGATCTCTTAAGTTGAATTCTGTTCTTATGACCCTGGCCCTGCCCTGTGGTCTTGGAGACTGCAGCTCCACATTGCCAAATCTTTGATCCATGTGTAGGTTTCGTGCCAATCCGAACCCATACCGAACCTCAAGCACCCTGGCCCAGCTAAGCTTGCTTCTGGCAAGCTGCCCTTTGGCATGCAGGGGCTCTTGCGGTCTCTGGCGCGAAGGCACAACGGGTTATGAACAGCAACGCCGTCATTGAAATTCATATTGCTATTGCTTCACGTTTCCCCGCTACAGACAGCTACAACTGTCTCCAGGGTGGCGTAGCGGGTTTCAGCATCCTCCCTTGTTCCTCTTTGCCAGGCTCGCTATCCTGCAGGCTTTTCGTACTTGAGGCTTGCAAAGCTTGTGTGCAATCAGCAACTAGGTGAAAATCGCCGCCGGTGGCTCCAGCGCTGCTGGTCGTTGCCAGGGGTGCCTTTCAGCATGTGCATGCCATGCGCATGCGCCGCGTGGCCACGACTCTTGCTAGACTGCTTTGATTCCTGCTTTCCCTTTTCAAGGCATCAGCTCTTTGGAGGTCTGCTTCCCTCCTGCTATGGTGGGAGGGGGTCGGCTTAGGAGGGTTGAAACTTGACTTGCGGCTGGGTTGCTGCTTGGTGAATGTGATAGATTCTGACAGATCCAATTGCTGCTGCGCTGGACATCTCTCTCTTTCTTGCCTGACCCGACGCTTGCTGCGCTGGAGTGGATTCCTGAGACCACCAAGCTGCAGGTGCCTGACGCAGTCGATGTTAGCGCTTGCCAAGAGAGTAACCTGTACGCACTGTGAGGGGCTTCTCACTGTGTTCGGTAAAAACAGCATGGTGCCATTCGTTGAGCCTATGGCGCATACTCGATCCAGAGTTTTCAATGAGCTCAGCCGAGGCTACTTCCGGACCCTGTTCCCACTCAACCCGTCGCAGCTACCTCCTCAGTCCTGCGTCCTGCTGCCCCTGCTCAAGTGACTGCAGCATGGTATAGCAAATTTGGCTTGTGTCATGGGCTGACTTCCTGAAGTGAGGATAATGCCGGTGCCTGCTTCTGATCCCGATGCTCTCGGGTCTGAGACTATCTCTGAAGAGGATCTGGGCAGAGACTGCTTTAGTTTGGGGCACCCTGGGTCACGGGCCATGGGCATTTTTCCTGTAGTTAAGGCTGCTGGCATGCCTTGTGGTTTGTTCTGGCAGTGGCAGGAGGTGGAAGGCTGCTTCCACTGGCGCATGCTCTGAGCTTCGCAGTTTAAAGTTGAAGCAGCAGGGAAGGCTGGCCAGTGCAACAAAGCCTGTTGCCTACTGTGGAGTGTCAAATGATGTGAACAAATGCTGACTGCTCAGATGCAAGCCAGCAAAAGCGCATCCCTTGTGGAAGCCAGACGCACCTCCAAGCAGTGCGGTCCCTTTGATGAGGCACGGCTCTGGAGTTTCACGCGCGTTTAGGCCGGCTAGCCTGAGGCCATGGTCTCCGAAGTCACTATCCACGACGGTTGAAAATCATTGATTGAAACATTCGAAACACCACGGATGAATATATTCCACAATTTTCATTGGAGCTGATTCCAACCAATTCTTCTCCTGTGATGGAGTTTTGAGATGATTTGTTAGATGTTGTTGGAGCTGTTGTTGCGGAGAGTAGTCAGGTGCACGCCTACTGAACAACTCCAGCTTCAAGAAGGGGCCTTGTACTTTGTTCTGTGCTCCATGCATTCCTTACAAATTGTACAGCAGCATTGTTGAGCAACCTGCAGAATCAGCATCCTTTGAGGTCGCACGGGACCAGGGCCTAAGGCGACTCCTGCCTGCCGACTCTATGGTTAGGAGACCCACTTCATGGACGAGGTCGAGCCATGGATGTGGCAGCACTTCAGGTGCCTCGTCGTCAGTGGACAATGTTGCGGGCTCAATACAAGTCCGAAGACGTGTGAAGGTGCCACACGAGTGCTCCCAGAGGACAGCGGGCGTGCTCATGATTTTTCTCCTGCCCTTTGCAGAGCTTCATGTCTTTTGGGGAACATTGCGCAAGCTTCAAATCACGGTAGGCCACGATCTGCAGGATGAAATGGAGCCCTGGATGTGGGGGCACTTCAGGCGTTTGGCCCACTCGATAACGCCGCTGGCAGCGGGCGTAGGGTCCAACGATCTAAAAGTTGTACTCGGCGCATTCAGAATCACTGGTGAGCCATCTGCAAGTTAGAGATCGTATCTCGAAGGTGCCAGCTGGCTCAGCAAGGAATCCTGTATGACGATAAAGATGATGCGGCGGCCACAGAAGCCTCGCTTGCTCGGTGAAACATGATGCCGCCTGATCGGCTCTCCTGCTGTGCTGAGGCTGAGACTACTTGCTTCAGGCCCAAGGCGCTTTGCAATGAAACTTTCCTTATTGCAAAAGTACCATATCCTACTGACAGGGTGGTGACGTGGTCAGTCAGGACATCAAGCCAATCACTAAGCCGATGCTGAACTTTCGTTTCATTGCCGTGCTTGCTGCTTGTCTTCGAGTTGCAGTTGAGGTCCTTGGATATCGCGAATGAGTACTATGCCAGTGACTGGACAAAGGCTGGTTGGGATTGATTGCCAGCTAACCTAAGCCTTCAGTTGTTTTAAAAGCGTCTTCTTCGCTTTGAGCTCTTCCAGGGCAAAGACCTGGAGTAAAACAGCGCCCAGTAATGAGGAAGTACCTTGCTCCCTATCCAAATAAGTCATCTTCAGGGTCTTGCTGTCGCCATCATCCATGTTAGCTGTTGTAATGTGCCTTGGCAGGTCCTCAGAACTTGTGAAAGGATGGAGGCAGGGCTTGTTGCTCTGAAACGTTCTTGGGTGGTGGCGCTGCGCTTGCTTGTTGGCAGTTCTTTTGTAGGGTCCCAGTGTAGGACATTGTAGACTCAGGGCAAAGAGAAAGAGCTTGCTGCTGCGAAGGAGGCAGGCTAATTTTTCAGTGCGGGTTCTCCTGTAAGTTTTCGAATCAATGCCTACGGGCAACCCTTGCGAGCAGCCCGATTCGTGGTCGGTAAGGGGTTCCAGCACTCGGCCGCAGCCCTTGAAGCCGAGGAGCCCAGATGCCCAGGCTGACCACAAAGCGAGGCATACGGAGTGACATCCATGAGGACATCAAACAGCAACGTACACGGACATATGCATTTTGCAGGGAGAGTGGGAGGGGTGCATCTGCATGTCGTCAGATTTCTGTTGATTCGACTTCCAGACTAAACCACAGAGGCGGTAGATCAAGAGGTGACAAGAGCCTGCGCAGCTGCGGGGAATCAATGAGCAATGAGCGGAAGCCAGGGGTAGCGTTGTTCGCAATCTTTGGGGTGGAATACTGGGGGCATGTTTGAAAGGGAAGACTAAGGAAAGAGGTTCCCGAAGATGATGGTGATGATGATGAGGACGGTGATGATGACTGTGATGAAAAAAGAAGATGATGATGACGATGATGGTGTGAGGCCGACATTTCCAGATGCGTGAGAGGAGGTTCCCTGATAGACTGAGGTCATGGTCTTTGCCAAGTCCAAACCACCGTGCTGAGGTTTCCTGCGCCGAGGCTGAGAAGCATCAGTTAGAGGTGAGGCTGCAAGGGGCCACGCAGATGTTGGCGTGAAGCAGTAGTTTGTAGATGTTCGCAGCGCGTCAGCTCTGGAGGCGTGTACACTTGCATGCTGAGCAGCCCTTGACAGCTGCTCGGGAGGCTCACAAGCAGATGCAGCGATTCTTGCTTGAGCACCTGCGCGTGGGCGGTGGGCTGTTATGTGTTGTTGTGTCCAATTTCACGGGACGCGATCTGAGACTCGGTCTTGGGATAAAGAAATACTCATTGTCCTGAGCGCAACACAGGGCTGCCGCTACGCTGCTAAGCGTGGCGCATGGCGATAACGCAGCCCATCCAGCAGCCAAACAAGCTTCAAGGCTCACTGAAGCCAGAGTATCAAGGGCTATGGGACAAGAGAGCGGAGTAGCTGAGTAGCATCCTCAATGTCATTTTGCGCAAGATTTCATGCTGACCGTCGTGCTTCTTTGCCACTGACTTCAGCAATGGCTGACAGCCACGCGCCCGCCTCAGCACTGTGGCACACAGAACCTCCCTCAGGAAGGGTTACAGCGAGTTTGGTAGGACCTGAAAGATTTTTGAAGCGTGGAGCGGAGGTCTGAGTCTGGGGAACCCCCCGCCCGCATTCACGCAATCTCCACGAGCCGTCCCCTCTCCTGCCATGTGGAAGGCGGCGCGATCGCGCAGACAAAATGCATGCCGCGTGGCAAAAGCCGGAGCTTTGTGCATCTCGAAACCCTGAAGGGGGTTATACGCACCACGTCCCGAACAAGATGATACTGCTGGAGTGCACCCTGAAGGACCAAGTTACTGAGGTACAGACCGCTTTGCAACACTAGCGTTGAGAAGTGCACGGCGCTGAGAATCTTGTGGAGCCGTCAGCCACGAGTCCGTCACGACGCCGCTGAGAGGCCCCAAGAACTCGGAAGAGCAGAGAATTATTTTTGTTTTTTCGTCCCGGCTTGCGGTCATGGCAGGTTTCAATGCTTTCAACAGGCCTTTTACGTCGGGGCCCCAAGCTGAAAACACTGATTCTTCAAAGCATCGTTTTTGGGCCCGTCGCTGGTCGCGAAATCCCGCTTTGTGTTCATAGCTCCAAGGTTTTTCTTCTGGAAAAGCAACGGCGAGGACTGCTTTTGACGCTCGCTGCGTTTTTCGCAGGCGGGTATCACCTATTGCTATCCATCGGGAGACGTGTCGCAGCACATGCTCCGTACGATGCTCTTCCAAAGTTTGCAAACGCTGCTGATGGGCCCGCTTCGGCTCTTTCGCGAAACACGGCTCAAGCGCACAAAGACTTGGTGGATAGCATGAAGGTGTACTTGTAAAGGTAGCAGAAGAAGACGTACCAGACTCACACTCACTCCATATTCAAAACAGCTTTGCCTATGTGAGTGCCATTTTGCACTGGTCCTTATAGTACGCCGCCTCAGCTCGGAGCTCGTCAACCCCTCCAAGCTGAAGAATGAGCGCTGCAAAATGCGGCAGGACCGAAGTTTGCAGTACTGTGTCAGGTGGTGCTCGAACAGGAGTTGGGATTTTGACGTTGGCTGGGCGGTTTCGATTTGTGGGAGTGAGGGCTTGTTAAAGTTTCATTGCTCTTTCGCCTTCCCATGAGCGCAGACAGAAGCGTGTCGAAAGTGCTGCGCACAGCACAGTGCCTACGCCTGCAAATGCACGGTGAATAGGACGCCTAGCGGAGACTTTTGAAGCATTTCTCAATGTCTCCTTAGCATCCTCTGAGCCAAAATCGTGAAGTCACCATCTTCCTCGAATCAGGGCTTTTGTGATCGTCTGCAGGACAGCCAGTGTAGGTGAGACCCGCTCAAGCAAGGTTTGCGAGAGGAGCGTGTCAGGCGTGAGATCGGTTTCTCAGGATTAGATGAATTTGCCATGTTTGTTAGACCGCGTGGAGAATTTACGATCAGACGTGAAATCGGTGAGTGTATGCCTGAATTTCGGGGTGAGGCTTGTTTGCCTGTTCGCGCCGGCCGTGGTTGAATGTCCAGTCCCTGCTTTTTTTGTCTGTCGATTTGGGTGGCTCTGTGCACGCGGCGTCCCGGCACGAGCGTTGTCATTGGTAGAATACCCATTATGCATTGGAAGCCATGTGGGGCCTTGTGTAAGAATTTAGAGATCGAAGCCTTCGTAAGCTTTTAAAAAGATTTCAAGCCTGACATCGGCACGAAACCAGGAGCCAAAACCAAACTCTGCGGCAGATTGGTGCCGGAAACTTTGAAAAGCGGTCAGGGATTTGGCCGTAAGCACCAAACCGTAAAGTGCACGCCAGAATCAGAATCAGATTTCGGCAGCTAGTAGCATCCACTTTTGGAAGTTTCTTTTATACATTGCAACAAGCCACTGTTCTGATTAACTTATCCCAATCTTGGGCTCGTGAAAGTGTCGGCAGGCAAGATTCGCTGAGGCCCTGCTCGCACGCGATTTCACAGGATGCCAATTCTGCAGGTTGCTCAGCAGTGCTGTTGTGCCATTGGTATTGAGCGCATTGAGCGCAGCGAAACGTGCAAGGCCTTTTGAAGTTGGAGCTGGTTCAATAGGGGTGCAACAAGCTACTCCCCGCAACAACGCTCCAGCCGCGTTCATAATAAATTTGTCATTGTTTGGCCCGGCACATGACCCCATTTATTTGTCGCCAGTGGCTGAGACCAACGCAACATGTAGTATCCACACCTGGTGCACGTAACGTGTTAATAATTTTTGGGGCTCGCCAGTCGCCGAAGACCATTCAAGGTGTATACTGTGAGGATGGCGCTCCGGGAAAGGTTCTTGCCCAACATCCTTAATGTCAAACCTTCAGTATCGTCCGTCCATCTTACCGGTATTGTAAAGCAGGTTTTACTTACATCTGCGTGTTAAGCCCTGAGATGCATCCGAATGTGCTACGAACATGTTATGCTCATCGGCACACCAACAGCACTTCCGCACTGCTTCGACAGGACAGGACAATCAGAAGTAAGAGACAGATAGCACTGTCCACCAACACAGGAACCCAGGACAAGTCGGCACGCATCCACAACCGATGAAGTGGAATGTAACGCTTCAAACCCACAACAAAAGTTCAGCAGAGTGGGGTCCTGAAAACGCAGCCGATGTTTTGCTTAGTGAGGCGTGAAAACATTCTCTTTTGCAATCGCAACAACAGAATTTCGGAAACAGGCCCTGCGAAGCTGACATCATGGAGAGGGTGGGGCGGCAAAAACACAAAACATCCTAACACAATGCGCTTGATCACCGCGTAGCATCACAACACTCCCCTCGGCCATTTTTTTCGTGCTTAGCAATTTGTTGTTGTTGTTGCAAGAGGTGGTCAACACATCCCACACTTCTACAATCAATGTCTCTCCCTGGCAAATCACTGCATCGGTAAAAAAATGAGTCTCCGTGCTCAGGCGTGTCATGCCTTGATAGCCCACCATTTGCCGGGACATCACTGTGGAGCTGCACACCGCGTTTGCCGAAACAAGTTACAGACCAGTTACTAGTGTTTTAGCCGCTTGCTGATGAGGTCATGTGGGCACGCATTTCATGGATGAACTTGAAGCACATATCTGCAGGCGACATGACAAGCCAATGCATGGAAGAGGAAAGTAGTTTGCACCTAGCAAAGGCCCCCATCACTATTCCGCATTCCATAAGGAGGATTTGGCAGAATCTCGCCTTGCGAGCAGAAGCTTTCGCAAAGTCTAGCAGTAGCAGCAATATTGGCAATTGTGCTAGTAGTCATAGTAGTAGTATTGGTCATAGCAGTGAAACTAGTAGGCTGTGCTGTAGCATGGCAGCGCATGGTCTCAAATTTTAAAGTTGGTCATCGGCAACAGATAAGTTCCAAACAAGTTCAATCAGCGTCACACTTAAATGCTTGGGAAAGCATGCAGCGGTGCCAGCCCAACAGTTGAATCTAGCTGCTGGGGAACTTGCAAAAAAGCGAGCGAGGGATGAAGACAAAATCGCACAAGAGAGTCGTGCAGGGAAAAACAAAACTACATCCATACGCGGAGACTTTGAGCACTGCAGTGCCACGACGACAGGAGCCAGGAAAGGAGCACGCGCAGCACGGTTGCAACAATCAGTTTGTGCACATCAATTCCTGCTTTGTCTCGGTTCAAAGCCCATGCCATGGCGGAGCAGACAGCGATGCGTGTTGCAGCAATCATCATTGGACATCATTGGTCTCTGTTCAGTGGCGTCATTTCGTGCTTCTAGCTAACCTCATCAGAGTGCATGGACTGCGGCAGCATCCGTGGAATTGCAGATGAGGCTTCTGATGCCTTGTCTGGGCTCAAAATGTTTCCTGACACTAGAAGTTCTGACAGATGGCAGGCGGATTGCGGAATCGCTGGTTTCGTAAACTGGGAACTGAAGCCTATTGGCGGGGCCTTGAAAAGTGCCTTGGATTCGTCTGAAAAGCGGTCGCAAGGATGTTGGCAGCATGGAATGTTCAGTAGCTCAAGAAATAAAAAACCGACTTGGGCCGACGAAGCTACAGCAGGATGCCAGGGAGTTCTGGATTTTTGCCGGTGTTAATGCGGGTGTCAGAACTGTGTCCAGGCTTTTCAGGCATCCTGTTTTCTTCTCTGATGTTTGACTCACAAATTACAGGGTCCATCATCGCCTGGTGGTATACCTAAGGTTTTCCAGAAGATTTTGTCGTCAAAGAGCTTCCGCTTCTGGAGCCGGAGTCTGGTCGCGCGCTTACCTGACATTTCTTAAGTGCGGGGCTTTGGAAGCGATTTTGTTGTCACGGCTGTGTGACGCTTCGGTGCAAGCTGTGTCTTTTGCGGAGTCAAAAGAGAGTCAGTCCTGTTTGCAAAGGCGACGAAGGCGAAGAGGAGAAACCTTTCCTTCGCTTCCGCCTCAAGAAGCGTGGCCTGGACACACTGGAGGCGCTTGAAGTCTTTAGAACCTGCCATGCCTAGAGCTGAATCAGAAGGCGGTGGACGCGCTGGCCTCCGCATGCCACATACCTCCGCATAGGCGCAAAGCGGGGTGCAGATCAGAAGTGGGTGTAGAGCAAGAGAGTTCAAGCCAAATGCTCAGTTGCTTGAGAACCTTGAAAGACAGTCAGGAGATTAAATTCTCTTTGCTAAGATGCATGCCATGACTTTGCAGCGCCTTGCTTGCGGCAACCAAATTTGGCCTGTCATGAGACCAGGTTTGGTTTTGCCGGAATCAAGGACATGGGACTGGACATCATCTGAAATGCGATGCTTCAGCCAGGTAGCTTGAAACTGATTTTGTAAAGTGCCGCTTATGCATCCCTTCCCGCCTATGTTAGACAATGCTGTCTTTTGTTGTGCTTTGAGATCACTTTCCGAGCCTTCGATGCAGGACTCCTTCGCAGTTACCACTCAGGAGCTCACTGTGCCACGTCACCTGATCACGGAGGTGGCATGGCTAGCTGTGATGTGCACAAGCCTGGCCACTGTATGCTGGTTTCAAGAAGTCACAAGCACAAGCTGGCCAGCCGGCTTGGCGGCTTCCCCTCGTAGCCTGTACAGAAGTAGGATGTAGTAGGCTGTAGCTGGAGAGCCAAATGAGTCCTGCGCCCCACATCTGTTCCTTCGATTGCCCAAGGCTGGCTTGCGCAAAGCAGCCGCGAACCTGCCTGGGTGTCTGGGCAAGTTTCAGAGAGCAGCATGCACACAGACGGATGCAGTGACCACACAGCTTGCGACGTTGTTGTCATCAGCAGCCGTGTCCCCGATTCTTCCTGGCCAATTCTTCCGCGCAGTTTACGGGTTGGTCGTGTGCGACGCAGCCGCCAACCGTTAGTGCCGGGACGCTTGAGAGGCCGAAGGGGCTTTTATTCTGATTGTCTGCTTTTGTTGCTGTGAACTCTGTTGTTTGCCATGCATGATTGCATGCTCATGTTTATCAGCCGAGATAGATTGGGTGGGCGTAAATATTTCTGCCTTCAATGAAATGCCTGGTAGAGGCAATCGCTTTATTCTTAGAGCTGGGACCTTACTCTCAGAGACATGTTGAGTATTGCCGACCCATTCTTGCAAGTGCGCCATGTTCAGATTGATCGCTAGAAAGGTAATGAACACTGCGTGACTGCGTTGAAATTAGCCCAACAGCCTGGTTGATTCCGACTATCATGTCGCGCTCTGCTAGCTGCAGCAGCCTAGGTGCGTGGAATCCGAGCCAATGCTGACGAGGCCCCGCTGTTGCCGCAAAATCTGACCGTCGGCTTCTGCAAGCCTGTAACTGGGCCTTGACAGTGTGCGCCTGATAGGTGAAAGCGGCGGTTGAGTCGCTCCAGACGCAAGGCTTCATCAACTATGCCCTGGAGCTCAGTTCGCAAAAGTCCGTTTGTTCACAGGAGAGGTAGCAGGAATCGCAGCGCATCAAGTGCCCCACATCCACAACATGCCTGCACTTGGGACTGCAGGTTGGCATGCAACGGTTTGGCAAGGGCGGTGTGCGAAGCGACCTGCTTGGTTTGGCATATCTGCAGGCCAGCTCCCGGCCGCAACAGTGTCTGGAGCAATAGTAAGCGGCACTCGTAATCCACCCAGAGCTTCACAAGAACATTCACAACTTTAATTTCTTGGGATCTCAAGGCATTGTTTAATCGTTGGCATCTGATGCCAGTATCGATCCGTGCATGTTTGTTATTATATAGTGTAGCCGACTTGACAGCACCACAGCTATTCTCTCGCTCGAATTCCTGGGGACAGCCTTCGGTCCCCCAAAGCAGCCCGTAGCCACCATGTGATTAGAAAATGTTCTGCCAGGGTGACTACATCCGCTGCGCCTCTTGGCAAGCACAACATGCGCAAGTCAGCAAGACATCATTTTGCATGTCTCACGGTTTCAGGCGGCCTCTGCCAGGCTTAGCCCTTTTGCGGAGATGGCTTGCGCCCGTCAGGTCGACATTCTGCTGCGCCAGCGCGGCGCTGAGAAGGCAAGGCTATCAAGAGTTGTGGACTGTGACAACGGCTCGCATGAACCCAGGGATCAAGGCCACAGCAAAGACTGAGAGTGGCCATTGCTTCCGAAGTAAGCTGCCCAGGCCCATGCGATTGCATGAACCTGCCTAGTGCCAAAATCGAATTGTTGTGAGCGCCCATCCGTTTGGCCTTGTTCCACATCCCAGCTCCAATGCAGAGAAAACAGAGCATTGGCTTGCCTCAAATCTTGGCAACTCCTTGCAGGGAAGCGCTCGCATGCCGAGGTGGGCAGAGGCCAGGACCGATTTTTCTCTATTTCGCAGAACGGGCCATGTGCTCATGTCCTATAATTGTATGCCTTGAGTTGTGAAAGCTTGTGCAGCCAAGCCTGCCAAAGATTTGCCCGGAATCTGCTTGCTGCATGTCACAGGGGTTCCTCAGTCTTGCTTGAACTGTAAGACGCAAGTGGCAATATATGGGAGTTCGAAACCATGGCCATATGTTGCAACCAATGTTTGTATGTGCGATTGCTGCACGTGCTTCAGCTTACATCCTGATTGAATTCAGGTTTACCAGCGCACCAACAGTGCTGAAGCCGCACTTCGCAAACTTCCCGAGGCGGGGTTCAACCATGCGTAGTGACCAGAAGATCTTCAGTTGAGCAAGCATTTTCTAGCACCATGTAGCAGGTGCTGATTTTAGATTTTAAGCCTTCTTGTAAGCTTCAACCGGTCTGAAAGCCAGTGCAGTCTCGTGATCCCATGTTGGTTGGATCCTTGGGCGAGCAGCACCAACGTGCAGAGCGTGACACAGCCAGTATAACCCTGTCACCTGGGACTGGCAAATACCAGTAGCGAAAGTGGCGCATGCAATTGCTGAATAGACCAAATGCCACCAGAGGATTTCCCTACGAGCTGCCGCGATGGATTGGGCATAGACTAGCAAACAGGTGCAAGAGCAGTCGGAAGAAGCAATGTTGTGTGGCTAGGCGGTCACGTCTTGGTACTCAGCATTGGATACGACAAGCTAGCACTCACACCTGCAGTCTTTCCCCAGTTCGGGAGGATCTTTGATAGGCCTCCACTTACTCAACAGCTTACCAGGCATTCGCAGGTCTATGATTACTACTACTACTACTAC